TAGCCTAGAAGATCTGCCGCAGTGGTTGGAAAACCTCCATTCTCTTCAAGAGCTGAAAATTGAACATTGCCATCAGTTGAAAGGTCAACCTTCTCTTCAAGACATGCGACTGCGAGGCCTCGACAACTTAAATTCCTTTGCCATCGTCTCTGAAGAAAGTCTGTCCACCCAGCGGCGTCGCCAGAATTCAAGGTTAGAGCGTGCAAAACTATAAATTAAAAGTTATAATTTCTTTTAAATAATTAAAAAGGGTAGTTCGATCTATGATTAATTTTTTATTATTAAAATAATATATAAATTGCAAATAAAAAGTATTCTAAAAGCAATGGAAAACAAAGGAAAACAAAATACAACAATGACAAAATATAACATAGATAAAAAAGTAATGATAAAGGAGAAACGCAAGGTTAAATATTTGATGGCAAAGTTAACAAATAATCATAGAATAGGTACAGAACTAGACAAAAAGATGATTAATATAACTTGAAATTAACCATGATTCAATCAAACATTAGAAATCAGACAGTATAATTAATTAACAATTACACTTAAGAAAATTAAAAATTAAATGATAAGTAATTAAAAGTCCAAATCCAAAACAATTAGCCATTACAATAATAAGTAATTGCTGAAGAACTTACAATCAAAGCAATTAAAAGTCTATTACTATAAAAGGTGTTTTAACGGTAGAGTTATACTTTGAATTGAAAAAAAATGAAATAATGCATTTAGTCGGTGATTAAACTACAATATAATTGACAATTAAGTTTAGATTTGCATTTTTTACCTCATAATTAACATATGTACTATATATTTTTATTTTATAGGTAAACTTAACATTTTTTAATATTTTACGCCCAGCACCTCCCTTAGCTCTGCCACTAAGTCCACTGATCAAGAGGAAGTGCATTTAGAGGGGGCCATGCCTTCCCCTAGCTCCGCCACTAAGTCCACTGATCAAGGGAAAGTGCTTTTATTGGGAACCATGCCCTCCTCTAGCTCCGCCACTGAGTCAACTGATCAAGGGAAAATGCATTTGCAGTGGCCCATGCCCGCTCTCAGATCCGAGATTGAGTCCACCGATCAAGAGAAATTGCTTTCAACAGGGCCCATGCCCTCCCCTAGCTCCGCCACTGAGTCCACTGATCAAGGAAAATGCACGGAAGGGCTTATCCTGCCTCAAGTCGGAAGTGAGTCCACCCAGCGGCGCAGCCAGAATTTAAGGTTAGAGTGTGCAAAACTATAAATTAAAAGTTTTAATTTTTTTTAAATAATTAAAAAGGATAGTTCGATCTATGATTAATTTTTTATTATTAAAATAATCTATAAATTACAAATAAAATAAATAGATAAATAATTAATTTATGAATATTTTAATAAATTTAAGACATCTTTTAATATTCTATAATAAAAATTTATGAAACTAAAATGATTTTTATCAAATGGTAGGTGTGAAAGGAATCCCTCATAAGGAAAATTTTCCTTACAGACAATGATACAACGTAACAATTCCTCCATAAAATATAAAACTTTTTTCTTTTTTTTTTTAACTTTTTTTAATCCTGGCCGCCTAGCTTGTGATTGGACGCACCAAGTCTCCCTCATCAATTATTGATAATTAGTAATTAATCAGAAAATAAAAACACTAAATTAAGTATTAGGTGTAATCAATTAACCAATCTGCATATTTTCTTTTAACAGTCTTGCATCAATTTGTCTTCAGCATATATTATATTCTTCTCCTTCTTTTTGCTATAGACTTCCAAGCAAATCTCTTCCCCAAACTATTGAAACAAAGATGGGTGCGAGTATCCTTGCCTCTCTCGTAGATGCAGCTCTGTCGAAGGTGATTGCTGTTGCTTCTTCTGATCAGTTCAATTTAGCACTGGGATGGAACAATGATCTGACGGAGTTTCGTGATAGAATGAAGACGCTCCGAGGTTTATTGCAAGATGCTAATGAAAAGAACGTCAGTGGCTACCTTGATCTGAAGTGGCTCCAGGATCTTCGAGATATTGCAGATGAGGCTGATGATATGCTGGAGGAGGTCGCTTATGAAGGTATGCAGCGGGAAGTTAAGAATCCAAAGGCCAAGCATTTCACACTGTCTGACCCCACGGTCTTGCAATTTCGGCAGAAAATTGCTAATAGAGTTCGAAAGATGAATAAAAGACTTCATGATATGAGTCTCCGGGCTGATCTGTTGGGACTGCAACGCAAACTTGCAAACATGGTTCCTGAACCCAGAGGCAGGGCAGGCCGAGAGACCCACTCTTTTCTTTCATCTCAAGTTTTTGGAAGAGGGGAAGATGTCTCTAAAATAGTCAGCTTGTTGGTTGACTCGAGTAGTCAGCATGACCTCCCTGTCGTGATTATAGTGGGTATGGCAGGTCTTGGCAAAAGCACTATAGCAAAAGCAGTGCTTACAAATGATAAAATACGAAAACATTTTGGTGATAATAAAATGTGGGTTTGTGTGTCTGAAAATTTTGATGTCCAAATGATTTTAATGGAGATGTTGAAGTCTCGTGGTGGAAGTAGTAGTGGTGATGGTGATTTTGGAAGCAAAGATATAGTGATGAAGAAATTACAAGAGAAGTTGGGGGGGAAAAATTATCTTCTCATACTAGATGATGTCTGGAATGAGGAGAGACCGAAGTGGGAGGATTTAAGGGATTGCTTGTTGGGAATATGTAAATTTAAGGGGAGTAGGGTGCTTGTGACAACCCGGCTTGAAAATGTTGCATCAATAATGGCACTTACTGATGAACAAATCCATCGTCCTCGGCAATTAAATGAAGATGAGTGCTGGAGTATAATCAAGCAGATAGCATTTGGAGACAATTCAGTAACTGAGGGGTTAGAGGGAATTGGAAAACAGATTGCTAAAAGATGTAAAGGCATTCCACTAGTTGCAAGTATTATAGGGGCTATTTTGCAGAATAAGAGGGACAAAGGGGAGTGGCAGGCAATTACAGAGAATCGTGTTTGGGATTCACTGGAAAAGGAAGGGATCTCAGATATAATAAAATTCAGCTATGATCGCTTGCCCACACTGGCTTTGAAGCAATGTTTTGCATTTTGTTCCATTTTTCCTAAGGATTTTGTCATGGAAAGGGTGAAGCTAATTCAACTTTGGATGGCTCTAGGATTTCTTGAATCACCTGAGGAAATTAGTAATATGGCAGCGAAAGATATTGGTGACAAGTATTTCAAATATTTGTTATCATATTCCCTATTTCAAGAGGAACGGAGGGATAATGTAACTGGGAGTGTTGAATCTTGTAAGATGCATGGCTTGATTCATGATTTTGCCCAGTCAATTTCAAAATTTGAGACGCTGATTGTTGAGGAGTGCTCTGGTAGCAATATTTCTCGTGATGTTAGGCATTTGAATCTAATTGATGGGAGGGAAATGGTGCCATCTATTTTAGGGGATGTTGCTAAAAAGTTGCAGACATTGTTTTCCAAGCATAGTTTTTCTAATGGTGTGCAAGTGGATCTTACAAGGTTACGAGTTCTCAGCCTTGAAGATGCTTATGATGCAAAACAATTGCCGATGTGCTTTGGCAACTTGAAGAGGTTGAGGTACTTGGACATTTCAGGAACTCAGATAGAAGAACTGCCTGAATTCATCTCCGAGTTGTACAATCTACAAACATTTAGATTCATGGATTGCAGATCTCTTAAAATGCGCGAAAGAGGAATAGGAGATTTAATCAACTTGAAGCATATTTATTTCAGTGATGAAAAGCGTATGCCTGCAAACCTTGGGAGACTAACCAACCTACAAACATTGCCATTATTTTTTGTAGGTACAACAGAAGGACGTAAAATTGAAGAATTGGGAAGCTTAAGCGAACTCAAAGGAGGACTAAAGATCCTTAAGCTTGAGCTTGTTGCAAGCAAATCGGAAGCAGAGGGAGCAAAGTTAAAAGAGAAGGCAATCAAGGATTTGGAATTTCGTTGGTTGAGAGGTGATGGCAATCAAGATAAAGATGAAGATGTCTTAGAAGGCCTCCAACCCCCCTCAAATATAAGAAGATTAAGGATTGATGGCTATGGAGGTAGAAAGTTGGCATCATGGATGTTGTCACTCAACAATTTGGTGGATCTGACAATATCCCATTGCTATATGCTTCACAGAATTCCAGATATCAGTGGGCTTCTATCTCTTCAGCGGCTCCATGTTCGTGATTGTGATGAAGTAACTAGTTTGGGTGATGGTGATGGAGCATTTACGTCTCTCAAACAATTATCCATATCCAGGTGTGGTAAGTTAGAGAGAGTTTTGGTTAGTGGATTATCATCTCTGGAGGAACTCAAGATTGTGTATGGCTGGGGGATAAATAGCATAGGAGATAGCCTATCAAGCTCCACGTGTCTCAAACATTTGCATCTGGAAAGCTGTGTTAAATTGCAGTCTATTCCAAGTCTAGAAGGACTTGTCTCTCTCAAAACAGTAATTATTTCCAATTGTAAAGAATTAGAGCGTCTACCGAGTGGGCTCTCATCTTGCACTGCTCTGGAGAAATTGAAGATAAGGAAATGCTCTAATTTGGTTTCTATTCCTGAAGAATTGAAACAGTTGCAGTCTCTTGTTGAGTTGGAATTTTGGGGTTGTCCAAAATTGAAGTTTATTCCAAGTCTAGAAGGACTTGTCTCTCTCAAAACAATAACTATTTCCGGTTGTGATGAATTAGAGCGTCTACCGAGTGGGCTCTCATCTTGCACTGCTCTGGAGAAATTGGCGATATGGGGACACTCTAATTTGGTTTCTATTCCTGAAGAATTGAAACAGTTGCAGTCTCTTGTTGAGTTGGTTTTTGAATATTGTCCAAAATTGAAGTTTATTCCTCTAGAAGGACTTGTCTCTCTCAAAACACTAAATGTTACAAAGTGTGATGAATTAGAGCGTCTACCGAGTGGGCTCTCATCTTGCACTGCTCTGGAGAAATTGAAGATAAGGGAATGCTCTAATTTGGTTTCTATTCCTGAAGAATTGAAACAGTTGCAGTCTCTTGTTGAGTTGGAATTTTGGCGTTGTCCAAAATTGAAGTTTATTCCAAGTCTAGAAGGACTTGTCTCTCTCAAAACAATAACTATTTCCGGTTGTGATGAATTAGAGCGTCTACCGAGTGGGCTCTCATCTTGCACTGCTCTGGAGAAATTGGCGATATGGGGACACTCTAATTTGGTTTCTATTCCTGAAGAATTGAAACAGTTGCAGTCTCTTGTTGAGTTGAGATTTTGGTGTTGTCCAAAATTGAAGTTTATTCCTCTAGAAGGACTTGTCTCTCTCAAAACACTAAATGTTATCAAGTGTGAAGAATTAGAGCGTCTACCGAGTGGGCTCCCATCTTGCACTGCTCTGGAGACATTGGAGATAAGGGAATGCTCTAATTTGGTTTCTATTCCTGAAGAATTGAAACAGTTGCAGACTCTTGCTGAGTTGGATATTTGGGAATGTCGAAAATTGAGGAGCTTCCCAGACGAGATCTTGGGCTCTCTTGCCAGCTTGAAGACATTAAGGCTTGGCCTTTTCTCAGAAGAGCTGGAGGAATTCCCAGATTTGAGTTCCACTTCCTCCCTTGAAGTCTTGCGTTTGGAAGGATGGGGGGAATCGCTAACTCTGCCACATCAAATTGATCGCCTCACTGCTCTCAGGAACTTAACTATCAAAAGCGTGAATGGAGTGGAAGAAGCTTTATTGGGAAACCTTTCTTGTCTTAAAACACTTGAAATTCAAGATTGTTGTCGGTTAGAGTGTCTATCAGGTGGGCTGTCATCTGTTGAGGAGCTGAAGATAACAAATTGCCCTAATCTGGTCTCTTTCCAAGGAGAGTGGAAGGAGTTGCCTTATCTAACCATTGTAGGTTGTCCGAAATTTGTGGGCTTCCTAGAGGAGAGTCTCGGCTGCTTTACTAGTTTGAAGGGATTAGAGATCGGCCGTTTCTCAGAAGAATTCCCAAGTCTGAGTTCCATCCCCGCCTCCCTTGAATATTTGAGCCTGACGGGATGGGAAAAACTAACTCACCTTCCACAAATTCAACACCTCACTGCTCTAAAGGAGTTGAGTATAGTGGACTTCAGTGGAATGGAATCTTTGCCAGACTGGTTTAACAACTTGTCCTCCCTTCAACGACTTGAAATTTGGGGCTGCCCAGACGAGTTAGAGGAAAGATGCACCAAGGGAAGCGGTCCTGACTGGCACAAGATTTCTCACATTCCATACATCGAAATAGATGGGGAGACCATCCAATACGAAGATGGATACGAATCCGAAGACTGAGGCAAAGAGGTTTGTGTTTCTTTTTTCTCACAACTGCACTTGTACAAATTCCCGACACCAAAAAGTAAAATCTCTCTCCTCATCCTCTATCAATTAATTGGATTGATGCTGCTCCCTCCATCGCTGTTGGGTGCCGCCAATTAGTGTTATCTCGTCAAAATTATTTGTTCTTTCTCTCAAACCATATATAAATTCATGTTTTCTTTTTTCTCACTTTGGATTCATATTCTTATACTGCATGTAGATGTGATTAATTATGAGTGAATAATGAATGAGTTGATGGAATGATGATTTCTAGAATTCTGAATTGATATCCTACAAGCTTCAATGTTGTGGTAATTAATTCATCGCTCTTCACTTGATCAATTTAACTCATCTTACACATTTGAGGAGTGTGAGGACAAGCAGAATTTGCTTCAACATGAAAATGAACTGCTGCAAGTCTTGGTTTTTGAAATTTCATCTGATATTCCAAAGATGGCATGGCAGGAGGAGGGGAAGGAAAGCAGCAGTGTTTGCCAAGCCAAAGACAATTCTGGTATGCTTACTAGAATTTTCTCTGGGTTTAACATTTAAGGATTTTGGTTCTGCATTTTAGCATTAATCTTACCCACTTGGAAATTTGGATTGTGCAGTCTGTTCTTCAAGGGGCTCAGTTTTATTTAGCTAAGATTTGGGAGGATATTCAATGTCATTTCTTAATTGCTCTGCTAATTCTTTGAAAACCAACCAATCCACGGGATTGACGTGGATGATGTTCAAGGTCCCTCAGTAAGGGCATGTCACCTGATTTGAGCCAAATTGGCATAAGTTTGCCTGCATTTCCTACAAGGTATATTTTAATGCCATTGATTCTAAAGCTTAGATCATCAGTAAAAAAAAATTATGATCTTAAAATTCACTATAAATGCATTTGCTTTTTCTGTACTGCTACTTTTGATTTTCATCTCCTAAGATGGCTGCTTAATTATTACTATTTTCATCTCCTATTCTAAGATGGCTGTTTAATTATTGCTCAGGTTGTTTCAGCAGCGCGAGTTTGATTCCAATATGTTGTCTCTTGTTTGTACATAGCTGTCTTTTTTCAAATTATCACAACCCCTGGTCCTTCAAAAGAGGGATCCCAATGTAGGTATGTCACCATAAAAAATTAAGTTTATTTGATTCTTGTTGGTTAACCACCTTTTAATAGTTTTTGATGTGTTCTCCTGAAGTAGAGTAGAGATTGCATAAAAATATACGATACTCAAATGCATTTTATGGTTGCAGCTTTACAGGCACCAACCAAACTATTTTGCATCTTATATTCAAGCTTCTGAAGAACCTGAGGTTTCAATCATAAAAAAAGAATCTGAGGTTGTTCGAGATGCTCTAGTGTGGACTTGTATTCAAGCCTTTGTTTCATTTATGACATTGCTTTTCTACACTTCTGCTTATAGATTTTAATTCCGTGTCTGTACTCATGTACAATCATTTGTTTTTGCAGATTTTCTTTGTGCCGTCTGGTTGCTCGTTTGGTTCCCATAATCATATGGTACGTCACAAGAAGGAAATGACTAAATTATTAGTTATGAGATTCGTAAAACAGAGTGATGGCAATTAAGAGATTACATGTTTGATTTTGGATTTGTGGTTTTTCTTTTAAGAAAACTCAAATCTGCTCAGGAGAATGAGGTGACTAATGATTTCCCCTCGGTTATGCAGGAATCTTTTTAACTTGTTTTACAAATAAACAGGTGGATGGCAACAATTAGGGTGCTGCTAAAATTGCTAACAGTGGCATCTTTGTTCAATGTTATGCTACCGACTCACACAAACCACAAGTAGAAAGGATTACAAGGACGCAAATCACTTCTTGTCATGTCCTTTTCCAGTCCTAGTCATGAACACCTGTCTCCTATTGTCTTGTCCACAACTGATGGAAATACTAGTGTTTTGGATATTGATTCATAGATAGCATGAAATGAAGGTGTTAATTTTCATGCTTTCTAATAGACAAATCCAATAAATTTTTGTTGCAACACTTGTATTATAATTCAACTCTGGCAACACGAGACAAATGATACTCTAGTCCATAGTCAAACTCAGATAGATTTTGTTGTAAACAACATTGAAGCTACTTCTATGCTTCTTTGTGTCTTAAGATTTGCTCAAAAAAACCTTCAGTGATATGTCCATAACCAGAGTTTGCCACCAAGGATAATAAGAAACTTCATCCATAGAAAGTCTCCCATCTCATGTTATAGTCATGCTTAACATCTTGCTTGTATTCTGGTGATTGCTCTTCGCTGATCCCCATACAATATACCACACATATGATTGTTTTCGAATGAAGTATTGTTGCAAAGAAAAGCAAAAGACCTGCTTGAGGAGTTTATTTCCAACAGTCAATTATAGCACATAGCTCCAAAATTTTTTGAAAAGCATTTTGCATATCAGATTATTTTTCAAATGAAGATTGAATCAACATATATCGATTCCAGATGAAGATGGATCTCAGTAATCAAGACATCATCATCAGAAACAAGCCTTCCAACTTCAACTGTATTGTTGAGGGACCTCCCGTGCAAGCTTATCCATGAATTGGAATTTCTTGTCAAATCCTCAACCAGGGTTGCTCTGCATTGTAATGTTAATAGCAGATGGTAAACATTTCATGTAGATCATCATGATTTAACCAGTATACAAAGCAACTTCAAGATCGAGACAGGAAAGAACGATGAGAGTGACTACTAACCTGCAGGGAAAGAATTGAACGATTGGCAGATTGCTTCACAGAAGCAGGCGCACTGTTAGGAATGTTTTCGGCAACTTTTTCTAGCTCCTCTTGCTGTTTCTTTGCTGTAATCCTATCAGGTCGACAGTACTGATCAATAACCTTTTCCCATAGCAGGACCCTCTCAATCGCTTCTTTGACAGCTTCCTGAAAACCAATAGCAAACACCAAACAACTTCCAAACCAAAGTGATAATACTAAAATCATTATTGGAAAAAAAAAAATCCATAATACCAACTCTAAAATGGTTCAGCATAAATGTTTAACTCATTAAAGTATTCAATTGTAGTTCAAACTGATTAGACACATCGGTTCCTTGCTCATTACATTGTTAATAGGATCTCTATTGTATCATGTAATTAAATAAAGTGCT